TGGAGGCAAGGATGATGGAGGCAAGGATGATGGAGGCAAGGATGATGGAGGCAAGGATGATGGAGGCAAGGATGATGGAGGAAAGGATGGGGGAGGCAAGGATGATGGTGGCAAGGATGATGGAGGCAAGGATGATGGAGGCAAGGATGATGGAGGAAAGGATGGGGGAGGCAAGGATGATGGTGGCAAGGATGATGGAGGCAAGGATGATGGAGGCAAGGATGGAGGCAAGGATGATGGAGGCAAGGATGATGGAGGCAAGGATGATGGAGGCAAGGATGATGGAGGCAAGGATGGAGGCAAGGATGATGGAGGCAAGGATGATGGAGGCAAGGATGATGGTGGCAAGAATGATGGAGGCAAGGATGATGGAGGCAAGGATGATGGAGGCAAGGATGATGGAGGCAAGGATGATGGAGGCAAGAATGATGGTGGCAAGGATGATGGAGGCAAGGATGATGGAGGCAAGCGTGATGGAGGCAAGGCAAGGATGATGGAGGCAAGGATGATGGAGGCAAGGATGATGAAGGCAAGGATGATGAAGGCAAGGATGATGGAGGCAAGGATGGAGGCAAGGATGATGGAGGCAAGGATTATGGAGGCAAGGATGATGGTGGCAAGGATGATGGAGGCAAGGATGATGGAGGCAAGGATGATGGAGGCAAGGATGATGGAGGAAAGGATGATGGAGGCAAGGATGATGGAGGCAAGGATGATGGAGGCAAGGATGATGGCGGCAAGGATGATGGAGGCAAGGATGATGGAGGCAAGGATGATGGTGGCAAGGATAATGGAAGCAAGGATGATGGAGGCAAGGATGATGGAGGCAAGGATGATGGAGGCAAGGATGATGGAGGCAAGGATGATGAAGGCAAGGATGATGAAGGCAAGGATTATGGAGGCAAGGATGGAGGCAAGGATGATGGAGGCAAGGATGATGGAGGCAAGGATGATGATGGCAAGGATGATGGAGGCAAGGATGATGGAGGTAAGGATGTTGGATGCAAGGATGTTGGATGCAAGGATGATGGAGGCAAGGATGATGGAGGCAAGGATGATGGAGGCAAGGATGGAGGCAAGGATGATGGAGGCAAGGATTATGGAGGCAAGGATGATGGTGGCAAGGATGATGGAGGCAAGGATGATGGAGGCAAGGATGATGGAGGCAAGGATGATGGAGGAAAGGATGATGGAGGCAAGGATGATGGAGGCAAGGATGATGGAGGCAAGGATGATGGCGGCAAGGATGATGGAGGCAAGGATGATGGAGGCAAGGATGATGGTGGCAAGGATAATGGAAGCAAGGATGATGGAGGCAAGGATGATGGAGGCAAGGATGATGGAGGAAAGGATGGGGGAGGCAAGGATGATGGTGGCAAGGATGATGGAGGCAAGGATGATGGAGGCAAGGATGGAGGCAAGGATGATGGAGGCAAGGATTATGGAGGCAAGGATGATGGTGGCAAGGATGATGGAGGCAAGGATGATGGAGGCAAGGATGATGGAGGCAAGGATGATGGAGGAAAGGATGATGGAGGCAAGGATGATGGAGGCAAGGATGATGGAGGCAAGGATGATGGCGGCAAGGATGATGGAGGCAAGGATGATGGAGGCAAGGATGATGGTGGCAAGGATAATGGAAGCAAGGATGATGGAGGCAAGGATGATGGAGGCAAGGATGATGGAGGCAAGGATGATGGAGGCAAGGATGATGAAGGCAAGGATGATGAAGGCAAGGATGATGATGGCAAGGATGATGGAGGCAAGGATGATGGAGGTAAGGATGTTGGATGCAAGGATGTTGGATGCAAGGATGATGGAGGCAAGGATGATGGAGGCAAGGATGATGGAGGCAAGGATGATGGAGGCAAGGATGATGGAGGAAAGGATGATGGAGGCAAGGATGATGGAGGCAAGGATGATGGAGGCAAGGATGATGGAGGCAAGGATGATGGAGGCAAGGATGATGGTGGCAAGAATGATGGAGGCAAGGATGGAGGCAAGGATGATGGAGGCAAGGATGATGGAGGCAAGGATGATGGAGGCAAGGATGATGATGGCAAGGATGATGGAGGCAAGGATGATGGAGGTAAGGATGTTGGATGCAAGGATGTTGGATGCAAGGATGATGGAGGCAAGGATGATGGAGGCAAGGATGATGGAGGCAAGGATGATGGAGGCAAGGATGATGGAGGAAAGGATGATGGAGGCAAGGATGATGGAGGCAAGGATGATGGAGGCAAGGATGATGGAGGCAAGGATGATGGAGGCAAGGATGATGGTGGCAAGAATGATGGAGGCAAGGATGATGGAGGCAAGGATGATGGAGGCAAGGATCATGGAGGCAAGGATGATGGAGACAAGGATGATGGAGGCAAGGATGATGGAGGCAAGAATGATGGTGGCAAGGATGATGGAGGCAAGGATGATGGAGGCAAGCGTGACGGAGGCAAGGCAAGGATGATGGAGGCAAGGATGATGGAGGCAAGGATGATGAAGGCAAGGATGATGAAGGCAAGGATGATGGAGGCAAGGATGGAGGCAAGGATGATGGAGGCAAGGATGATGGTGGCAAGGATGATGGAGGCAAGGATGATGGAGGCAAGGATGATGGATGCAAGGATGATGGAGGCAAGGATGATGGAGGCAAGGATGATGGAGGCAAGGATGATGGAGGAAAGGATGATGGAGGCAAGGATGATGGAGGAAAGGATGATGGAGGAAAGGATGATGGAGGCAAGGATGATGGAGGCAAGGATGATGGAGGCAAGGATGATGGAGGCAAGGATGATGGAGGCAAGGATGATGGTGGCAAGAATGATGGAGGCAAGGATGATGGAGGCAAGGATGATGGAGGCAAGGATCATGGAGGCAAGGATGATGGAGGCAAGGATGATGGAGGCAAGGATGATGGTGGCAAGGATGATGGAGGCAAGGATGATGGAGGCAAGCGTGACGGAGGCAAGGCAAGGATGATGGAGGCAAGGATGATGGAGGCAAGGATGATGAAGGCAAGGATGATGAAGGCAAGGATGATGGAGGCAAGGATGGAGGCAAGGATGATGGAGGCAAGGATGATGGAGGCAAGGATGATGGTGGCAAGGATGATGGAGGCAAGGATGATGGAGGCAAGGATGATGGATGCAAGGATGATGGAGGCAAGGATGATGGAGGCAAGGATGATGGAGGCGAGGATGATGGAGGCGAGGATGATGGAGGCGAGGATGAAGGAGGCGAGGATGATGGAGGCGAGGATGAAGGAGGCGAGGATGATGGAGGCAAGGATGATGGAGGCAAGGATGATGGAGGCAAGGATGATGGAAGCAAGGATGATGGAGGCAAGGATGATGGAGGCAAGGATGATGGAGGCAAGGATGATGGAGGCAAGGATGATGGAGGCAAGGATGATGGAGGCAAGGATGATGGAGGCAAGGATGATGGTGGCAAGGATGATGGATGCAACGATGATGGAGGCAAGGATGATGGAGGCAAGGATGATGGAGGCAAGGATGATGGAGGCAAGGATGATGGAAGCAAGGATGATGGAAGCAAGGATGATGGAGGCAAGGATGATGGAAGCAAGGATGATGGAAGCAAGGATGATTGAGGCAAGGATGATGGTGGCAAGGATGATGGAGGCAAGGATGATGGAGGCAAGGATGATGGAGGCAAGGATGATGGAGGCAAGGATGATGGAGGCAAGGATGATGGAGGCAAGGATGATGGAGGCAAGGATGATGGTGGCAAGGATGATGGTGGTAAAGATGATGGAGGCGAGGATGGTGGAGGCGAGGATGATGGAGGCGAGGATGATGGAGGCAAGGATGATGGAGGCAAGGATGAGGGAGGCAAGGGATGAGGGAGGCAAGGATGATGGAGGCAAGGATGATGGAGGCAAGGATGAGGGAGGCAAGGATGAGGGAGGCAAGGATGATGGAGGCAAGGATGATGGAGGCAAGGATGATGGAGGCAAGGATGATGGAGGCAAGGATGATGGAGGCAAGGATGATGGAGGCAAGGATGATGGAGGCAAGGATGATGGAAGCAAGGATGATGGAAGCAAGGATGATGGAGGCAAGGATGATGGAAGCAAGGATGATGGAAGCAAGGATGATTGAGGCAAGGATGATGGTGGCAAGGATGATGGAGGCAAGGATGATGGAGGCAAGGATGATGGAGGCAAGGATGATGGAGGCAAGGATGATGGAGGCAAGGATGATGGAGGCAAGGATGATGGTGGCAAGGATGATGGTGGTAAAGATGATGGAGGCGAGGATGGTGGAGGCGAGGATGATGGAGGCGAGGATGATGGAGGCAAGGATGATGGAGGCAAGGATGAGGGAGGCAAGGGATGAGGGAGGCAAGGATGATGGAGGCAAGGATGATGGAGGCAAGGATGAGGGAGGCAAGGATGAGGGAGGCCAGGATGATGGAGGCAAGGATGATGGAGGCAAGGATGATGGAGGCAAGGATGATGGAGGCAAGGATGATGGAGGCAAGGATGATGGAGGCAAGGATGATGGAGGCAAGGATGATGGAAGCAAGGATGATGGAAGCAAGGATGATGGAGGCAAGGATGATGGAGGCAAGGATGATGGAAGCAAGGATGATGGAGGCAAGGATGATTGAGGCAAGGATGATGGTGGCAAGGATGATGGAGGCAGGGATGATGGAGGCAAGGATGATGGAGGCAAAGATAATGGAGGCAAGGATGATGGAGGCAAGGATGATGGTGGCAAGGATGATGGTGGCAAGGATGATGGAGGCAAGGATGATGGAGGCAAGGATGATGGAGGCAAGGATGATGGAGGCAAGGATGATGGAGGCAAGGATGATGGAAGCAAGGATGATGGAGGCAAGGATGATGGAAGCAAGGATGATGGAGGCAAGGATGATGGAGGCAAGGATGATGGAGGCAAGGATGATGGAGGCAAGGGATGATGGAGGCGAGGATGATGGAGGCGAGGATGATGGAGGCAAGGATGATGGAGGCAAGGATGATGGAGGCAAGGATGAAGCATGATGGAGGCAAGGATGATGGAGGCAAGGATGATGGAGGCAAGGATGATGGTGGCAAGGATGATGGTGGTAAAGATGATGGAGGCGAGGATGATGGAGGCGAGGATGATGGAGGCGAGGATGATGGAGACAAGGATGATGGAGGCAAGGATGATGGAGGCAAGGATGAGGGAGGCAAGGATGATAAAGGCAAGGATGATGGAGGCAAGAATGATGGAGGCAAGGATGATGGAGGCAAGGATGATGGAGGCAAGGATGATGGAGGCAAGGATGATGGAGGCAAGGATGATGGTGGCAAGGATGATGGTGGCAAGAATGATGGAGGCAAGGATGATGGAGGCAAGGATGATGGAGGCAAGGATGAGGGAGGCAAGGATGACGGAGGCAAGGATGATGGGGGAAAGGATGATGGATGCAACGATGATGGAGGCAAGGATGATGGAGGCAAGGATGATGGAGGCAAGGATGATGGAGGCAAGGATGATGGTGGCAAGGATGATGGTGGTAAAGATGATGGAGGCGAGGATGGTGGGGGCGAGGATGATGGAGGCGAGGATGATGGAGGCAAGGATGATGGAGGCAAGGATGAGGGAGGCAAGGATGGAATGGAGGCAAGGATGATGGAGGCAAGGATGAGGGAGGCAAGGATGATGGAGGCAAGGATGATGGAGGCAAGGATGATGGAGGCAAGGATGATGGAGGCAAGGATGATGGAGGCAAGGATGATGGAGGCAAGGATGATGGAGGCAAGGATGATGTAAGCAAAGATGATGGAATTAAGGATGATGGAGGCAAGGATGATGGAGGCAAGGATGATGGAGGCAAGGATGATGGAGGCAAGGGATGATGGAGGCGAGGATGATGGAGGCGAGGATGATGGAGGCAAGGATGATGGAGGCAAGGATGATGGAGGCAAGGATGATGGAGGCAAGGATGATGGAGGCAAGGATGATGGAGGCAAGGATGATGGAGGCAAGGATGATGGAGGCAAGGATGATGGTGGCAAGGATGATGGATGCAACGATGATGGAGGCAAGGATGATGGAGGCAAGGATGATGGAGGCAAGGATGATGGAGGCAAGGATGATGGAAGCAAGGATGATGGAAGCAAGGATGATGGAGGCAAGGATGATGGTGGCAAGGATGATGGAGGCAAGGATGATGGAGGCAAGGATGATGGTGGCAAGGATGATGGAGGCAAGGATGATGGAGGCAAGGATGATGGAGGCAAGGATGAGGGAGGCAAGGATGACGGAGGCAAGGATGATGGGGGAAAGGATGATGGATGCAACGATGATGGAGGCAAGGATGATGGAGGCAAGGATGATGGAGGCAAGGATGATGGAGGCAAGGATGATGGTGGCAAGGATGATGGTGGTAAAGATGATGGAGGCGAGGATGGTGGGGGCGAGGATGATGGAGGCGAGGATGATGGAGGCAAGGATGATGGAGGCAAGGATGATGGAGGCAAGGATGATGGTGGCAAGGATGATGGAGGCAAGAATGATGGAGGCAAGGATGATGGAGGCAAGGATGAGGGAGGCAAGGATGACGGAGGCAAGGATGATGGGGGAAAGGATGATGGATGCAACGATGATGGAGGCAAGGATGATGGAGGCAAGGATGATGGAGGCAAGGATGATGGAGGCAAGGATGATGGTGGCAAGGATGATGGTGGTAAAGATGATGGAGGCGAGGATGGTGGGGGCGAGGATGATGGAGGCGAGGATGATGGAGGCAAGGATGATGGAGGCAAGGATGAGGGAGGCAAGGATGAGGGAGGCAAGGATGATGGAGGCAAGGATGATGGAGGCAAGGATGAGGGAGGCAAGGATGATGGAGGCAAGGATGATGGAGGCAAGGATGATGGAGGCAAGGATGATGGAGGCAAGGATGATGGAGGCAAGGATGATGGAGGCAAGGATGATGGAGGCAAGGATGATGTAAGCAAGGATGATGGAATTAAGGATGATGGAGGCAAGGATGATGGAGGCAAGGATGATGGAGGCAAGGATGATGGAGGCAAGGGATGATGGAGGCGAGGATGATGGAGGCGAGGATGATGGAGGCAAGGATGATGGAGGCAAGGATGATGGAGGCAAGGATGATGGAGGCAAGGATGATGGAGGCAAGGATGATGGAGGCAAGGATGATGGAGGCAAGGATGATGGAGGCAAGGATGATGGTGGCAAGGATGATGGATGCAACGATGATGGAGGCAAGGATGATGGAGGCAAGGATGATGGAGGCAAGGATGATGGAGGCAAGGATGATGGAAGCAAGGATGATGGAAGCAAGGATGATGGAGGCAAGGATGATGGAGGCAAGGATGATGGAAGCAAGGATGATGGAAGCAAGGATGATGGAGGCAAGGATGATGGAAGCAAGGATGATGGAAGCAAGGATGATTGAGGCCAGGATGATGGAGGCAAGGATGATGGTGGCAAGGATGATGGAGGCAAGGATGATGGAGGCAAGGATGATGGTGGCAAGGATGATGGATGCAACGATGATGGAGGCAAGGATGATGGAGGCAAGGATGATGGAGGCAAGGATGATGGAGGCAAGGATGATGGAAGCAAGGATGATAGAAGCAAGGATGATGGAGGCAAGGATGATGGAAGCAAGGATGATGGAAGCAAGGATTATGGAGGCAAGGATGATGGAGGCAAGGATGATGGAGGCAAGGATGATAGAGGCAAGGATGATGGTGGCAAGGATGATGGAGGCAAGGATGATGGAGGCAAGGGTGATGGAGGCAAGGATGAAGCATGATGGAGGCAAGGATGATGGAGGCAAGGATGATGGAGGCAAGGATGATGGTGGCAAGGATGATGGTGGTAAAGATGATGGAGGCAAGGATGATGGAGGCAAGGATGATGGAGGCAAGGATGAGGGAGGCAAGGATGATGGAGGCAAGGATGATGGAGGCAAGGATGATTGAGGCAAGGATGATGGAGGCAAGGATGATGGAGGCAAGGATGATGGAGGCAAGGATGATGGAGGCAAGGATGATGGAGGCAAGGATGATGTAAGCAAGGATGATGGAAGCAAGGATGATGGAGGCAAGGATGATGGAGGCAAGGATGATGGAGGCAAGGATGATGGAGGCAAGGGATGATAGAGGCGAGGATGATGGAGGCGAGGATGATGGAGGCAAGGATGATGGAGGCAAGGATGATGGAGGCAAGGATGATGGAGGCAAGGATGATGGAGGCAAGGATGATGGAGGCAAGGATGATGTAAGCAAGGATGATGGAAGCAAGGATGATGGAGGCAAGGATGATGGAGGCAAGGATGATGGAGGCAAGGATGATGGAGGCAAGGGATGATAGAGGCGAGGATGATGGAGGCGAGGATGATGGAGGCAAGGATGATGGAGGCAAGGATGATGGAGGCAAGGATGAAGCATGATGGAGGCAAGGATGATGGAGGCAAGGATGATGGTGGCAAGAATGATGGTGGTAAAGATGAGGGAGGCAAGGAGGATGGAGGCAAGGATGATGGAGGCAAGGATGAGGGAGGCAAGGATGATGGAGGCAAGGATGATGGAGGCAAGGATGATTGAGGCAAGGATGATGGAGGCAAGGATGATGGAGGCAAGGATGATGGAGGCAAGGATGATGGAGGCAAGGATGATGGAGGCAAGGATGATGTAAGCAAGATGATGGAAGCAAGGATGATGGAGGCAAGGATGATGGAGGCAAGGATGATGGAGGCAAGGATGATGGAGGCAAGGGTTGATGGAGGCGAGGATGATGGAGGCGAGGATGATGGAGGCAAGGATGATGGAGGCAAGGATGATGGAGGCAAGGATGATGGAGGCAAGGATGATGGAGGCCAAGGATGATGGAGGCAAGGATGATGGAGGCAAGGATGATGGAGGCAAGGATGATGGTGGCAAGGATGATGGATGCAACGATGATGGAGGCAAGGATGATGGAGGCAAGGATGATGGAGGCAAGGATGATGGAGGCAAGGATGATGGAAGCAAGGATGATGGAAGCAAGGATGATGGAGGCAAGGATGATGGAAGCAAGGATGATGGAAGCAAGAATGATTGAGGCAATGATGATGGAGGCAAGGATGATGGAGGCAAGGATGATGGAGGCAAGGATGAGGGAGGCAAGGATGATGGAGGCAAGGATGATGAGCAAGATGATGGAAGCAAGGATGATGGAAGCAAGGATTATGGAGGCAAGGATGATGGAGGCAAGGATGATGGAGGCAAGGATGATGGAGGCAAGGATGATGGTGGCAAGGATGATGGAGGCAAGGATGATGGAGGCAAGGGTGATGGAGACAAGGATGAAGCATGATGGAGGCAAGGATGATGGAGGCAAGGATGATGGAGGCAAGGATGATGGAGGCAAGGATGATGGAGGCAAGGATGATGGAGGCAAGGATGATGGTGACAAGGATGATGGTGGCAAGGATGATGGAGGCAAGGATGATGGAGGCTAGGATGATGGAGGCAAGGATGATGGAGGCAAGGATGATGGATGCAAGGATGATGGAGGCAAGGATGATGGAGGCAAGGGTGATGGAGGCAAGGATGATGGAGGCAAGGAGGATGGAGGCAAGGATGATGGTGGCAAGGATGATGGAGGCAAGGATGATGGAGGCAAGGATGATGGAGGCAAGGATGATGGTGGCAAGGATGATGGAGGCAAGGATGATGGAGGCGAGGATGATGGAGGCGAGGATGATGGAGGCAAGGATGATGGAGGCAAGGATGATGGAGGCAAGGATGAGGGAGGCAAGGATGATGGAGGCAAGGATGATGGAGGCAAGGATGATGGAGGCAAGGATGATGGAGGCAAGGATGATGGAGGCAAGGATGATGGAGGCAAGGATGATGGAGGCAAGGATGATGGAGGCAAGGATGATGGTGGCAAGGATGATGGAGGCAAGGATGATGGAGGCAAGGATGATGGAGGCAAGGATGATGGAGGCAAGGATGATGGAGGCAAGGATGATGGAGGCAAGGATGATGGAGGCAAGGATGATGGAGGCAAGGATGATGGAGGCAAGGATGATGGAGGCAAGGATGATGGAGGCAAGGATGATGGAGGCAAGGATGATGGTGGCAAGGATGATGGAGGCAAGGATGATGGAGGCAAGGATGATGGAGGCAAGGATGATGGAGGCAAGGATGATGGAGGCAAGGATGATGGAGGCAAGGATGATGGTGGCAAGGATGATGGTGGTAAAGATGATGGAGGCAAGGATGATGGAGGCAAGGATGATGGAGGCAAGGATGATGGAGGCAAGGATGATGGAGGCAAGGATGATGGAGGCAAGGATGATGGAGGCAAGGATGATGGAGGCAAGGATGATGGAGGCAAGGATGATGGAGGCAAGGATGATGGAGGCAAGGATGATGGAGGCAAGGATGATGGAGGCAAGGATGATGGAGGCAAGGATGATGGAGGCAAGGATGATGGAGGCAAGGATGATGGAGGCAAGGATGATGGTGGCAAGGATGATGGTGGCAAGGATGATGAAGGCAAGGATGATGGAGGCAAGGATGATGGAGGCAAGGATGATGGAGGCAAGGATGATGGAGGCAAGGATGATGGAGGCAAGGATGATGGTGGCAAGGATGATGGAGGCAAGGATGATGGAGGCAAGGATGATGGAGGCAAGGATGATGGAGGCAAGGATGATGGAGGCAAGGATGATGGTGGCAAGGATGATGGATGCAAGGATGATGGAGGCAAGGATGATGGAGGCAAGGATGATGGAGGCAAGGATGATGGAGGCAAGGATGATGGAAGCAAGGATGATGGAGGCAAGGATGATGGAGGCAAGGATGATGGAAGCAAGGATGATGGAGGCAAGGATGATGGAGGCAAGGATGATGGAGGCAAGGATGATGGAGGCAAGGATGATGGAGGCAAGGATGATGGAGGCAAGGATGATGGAAGCAAGGATGATGGAAGCAAGGATGATGGAGGCAAGGATGATGGAGGCAAGGATGATGGAAGGAAGGATGATGGAGGCAAGGATGATGGAGGCAAGGATGATGGAAGCAAGGATGATGGAGGCAAGGATGATGAGGCAAGGATGATGGAGGCAAGGATGATGGAGGCAAGGATGATGGAGGCAAGGATGATGGAGGCAAGGATGATGGAAGCAAGGATGATGGAAGCAAGGATGATGGAGGCAAGGATGATGGAGGCAAGGATGATGGAGGCAAGGATGATGGAGGCAAGGATGATGGAGGCAAGGATGATGGAGGCAAGGATGATGGAGGCAAGGATGATGGAGGCAAGGATGATGGAGGCAAGGATGATGGAGGCAAGGATGATGGAGGCAAGGATGATGGAGGCAAGGATGATGGAGGCAAGGATGATGGAGGCAAGGATGATGGAGGCAAGGATGATGGAGGCAAGGATGATGGAGGCAAGGATGATGGAGGCAAGGATGATGGAGGCAAGGATGATGGAGGCAAGGATGATGGAGGCAAGGATGATGGAGGCAAGGATGATGGAGGCAAGGATGATGGAGGCAAGGATGATGGAGGCAAGGATGATGGAGGCAAGGATGATGGAGGCAAGGATGATGGAGGCAAGGATGATGGAGGCAAGGATGATGGAGGCAAGGATGATGGAGGCAAGGATGATGGTGGCAAGGATGATGGTGGCAAGGATGATGGAGGCAAGGATGATGGAGGCAAGGATGATGGAGGCAAGGATGATGGAGGCAAGGATGATGGAGGCAAGGATGATGGAGGCAAGGATGATGGAGGCAAGGATGATGGAGGCAAGGATGATGGAGGCAAGGATGATGGAGGCAAGGATGATGGAGGCAAGGATGATGGAGGCAAGGATGATGGAGGCAAGGATGATGGAGGCAAGGATGATGGAGGCAAGGATGATGGAGGCAAGGATGATGGAAGCAAGGATGATGGAGGCAAGGATGATGGAGGCAAGGATGATGGAGGCAAGGATGATGGAGGCAAGGATGATGGAGGCAAGGATGATGGAGGCAAGGATGATGGAGGCAAGGATGATGGAGGCAAGGATGATGGAGGCAAGGATGATGGAGGCAAGGATGATGGAAGCAAGGATGATGGAGGCAAGGATGATGGAGGCAAGGATGATGGAGGCAAGGATGATGGAGGCAAGGATGATGGAGGCAAGGATGATGGAGGCAAGGATGATGGAGGCAAGGATGATGGAGGCAAGGATGATGGAGGCAAGGATGATGGAGGCAAGGATGATGGAGGCAAGGATGATGGAGGCAAGGATGATGGAGGCAAGGATGATGGAGGCAAGGATGATGGAGGCAAGGATGATGGAGGCAAGGATGATGGTGGCAAGGATGATGGAGGCAAGGATGATGGAGGCAAGGATGATGGAGGCAAGGATGATGGAGGCAAGGATGATGGAGGCAAGGATGATGGAGGCAAGGATGATGGAGGCAAGGATGATGGAGGCAAGGATGATGGAGGCAAGGATGATGGAGGCAAGGATGATGGAGGCAAGGATGATGGAGGCAAGGATGATGGAGGCAAGGATGATGGAGGCAAGGATGATGGAGGCAAGGATGATGGAGGCAAGGATGATGGAGGCAAGGATGATGGAGGCAAGGATGATGGAGGCAAGGATGATGGAGGCAAGGATGATGGAGGCAAGGATGATGGAGGCAAGGATGATGGAGGCAAGGATGATGGAGGCAAGGATGATGGAGGCAAGGATGATGGAGGCAAGGATGATGGAGGCAAGGATGATGGAGGCAAGGATGATGGAGGCAAGGATGATGGAGGCAAGGATGATGGAGGCAAGGATGATGGAGGCAAGGATGATGGAGGCAAGGATGATGGAGGCAAGGATGATGGAGGCAAGGATGATGGAGGCAAGGATGATGGAGGCAAGGATGATGGAGGCAAGGATGATGGAGGCAAGGATGATGGAGGCAAGGATGATGGAGGCAAGGATGATGGAGGCAAGGATGATGGAGGCAAGGATGATGGAGGCAAGGATGATGGAGGCAAGGATGATGGAGGCAAGGATGATGGAGGCAAGGATGATGGAGGCAAGGATGATGGAGGCAAGGATGATGGAGGCAAGGATGATGGAGGCAAGGATGATGGAGGCAAGGATGATGGAGGCAAGGATGATGGAGGCAAGGATGATGGAGGCAAGGATGATGGAGGCAAGGATGATGGAGGCAAGGATGATGGAGGCAAGGATGATGGAGGCAAGGATGATGGAGGCAAGGATGATGGAGGCAAGGATGATGGTGGCAAGGATGATGGAGGCAAGGATGATGGAGGCAAGGATGATGGAGGCAAGGATGATGGAGGCAAGGATGATGGAGGCAAGGATGATGGAGGCAAGGATGATGGAGGCAAGGATGATGGAGGCAAGGATGATGGAGGCAAGGATGATGGAGGCAAGGATGATGGAGGCAAGGATGATGGAGGCAAGGATGATGGAGGCAAGGATGATGGAGGCAAGGATGATGGAGGCAAGGATGATGGAGGCAAGGATGATGGAGGCAAGGATGATGGAGGCAAGGATGATGGAGGCAAGGATGATGGAGGCAAGGATGATGGAGGCAAGGATGATGGAGGCAAGGATGATGGAGGCAAGGATGATGGAGGCAAGGATGATGGAGGCAAGGATGATGGAGGCAAGGATGATGGAGGCAAGGATGATGGAGGCAAGGATGATGGAGGCAAGGATGATGGAGGCAAGGATGATGGAGGCAAGGATGATGGAGGCAAGGATGATGGAGGCAAGGATGATGGAGGCAAGGATGATGGAGGCAAGGATGATGGAGGCAAGGATGATGGAGGCAAGGATGATGGAGGCAAGGATGATGGAGGCAAGGATGATGGAGGCAAGGATGATGGAGGCAAGGATGATGGAGGCAAGGATGATGGAGGCAAGGATGATGGAGGCAAGGATGATGGAGGCAAGGATGATGGAGGCAAGGATGATGGAGGCAAGGATGATGGAGGCAAGGATGATGGAGGCAAGGATGATGGAGGCAAGGATGATGGAGGCAAGGATGATGGAGGCAAGGATGATGGAGGCAAGGATGATGGAGGCAAGGATGATGGAGGCAAGGATGATGGAGGCAAGGATGATGGAGGCAAGGATGATGGAGGCAAGGATGATGGAGGCAAGGATGATGGAGGCAAGGATGATGGAGGCAAGGATGATGGAGGCAAGGATGATGGAGGCAAGGATGATGGAGGCAAGGATGATGGAGGCAAGGATGATGGAGGCAAGGATGATGGAGGCAAGGATGATGGAGGCAAGGATGATGGAGGCAAGGATGATGGAGGCAAGGATGATGGAGGCAAGGATGATGGAGGCAAGGATGATGGAGGCAAGGATGATGGAGGCAAGGATGATGGAGGCAAGGATGATGGAGGCAAGGATGATGGAGGCAAGGATGATGGAGGCAAGGATGATGGAGGCAAGGATGATGGAGGCAAGGATGATGGAGGCAAGGATGATGGAGGCAAGGATGATGGAGGCAAGGATGATGGAGGCAAGGATGATGGAGGCAAGGATGATGGAGGCAAGGATGATGGAGGCAAGGATGATGGAGGCAAGGATGATGGAGGCAAGGATGATGGAGGCAAGGATGATGGAGGCAAGGATGATGGAGGCAAGGATGATGGAGGCAAGGATGATGGAGGCAAGGATGATGGAGGCAAGGATGATGGAGGCAAGGATGATGGAGGCAAGGATGATGGAGGCAAGGATGATGGAGGCAAGGATGATGGAGGCAAGGATGATGGAGGCAAGGATGATGGAGGCAAGGATGATGGAGGCAAGGATGATGGAGGCAAGGATGATGGAGGCAAGGATGATGGAGGCAAGGATGATGGAGGCAAGGATGATGGAGGCAAGGATGATGGAGGCAAGGATGATGGAGGCAAGGATGATGGAGGCAAGGATGATGGAGGCAAGGATGATGGAGGCAAGGATGATGGAGGCAAGGATGATGGAGGCAAGGATGATGGAGGCAAGGATGATGGAGGCAAGGATGATGGAGGCAAGGATGATGGAGGCAAGGATGATGGAGGCAAGGATGATGGAGGCAAGGATGATGGAGGCAAGGATGATGGAGGCAAGGATGATGGAGGCAAGGATGATGGAGGCAAGGATGATGGAGGCAAGGATGATGGAGGCAAGGATGATGGAGGCAAGGATGATGGAGGCAAGGATGATGGAGGCAAGGATGATGGAGGCAAGGATGATGGAGGCAAGGATGATGGAGGCAAGGATGATGGAGGCAAGGATGATGGAGGCAAGGATGATGGAGGCAAGGATGATGGAGGCAAGGATGATGGAGGCAAGGATGATGGAGGCAAGGATGATGGAGGCAAGGATGATGGAGGCAAGGATGATGGAGGCAAGGATGATGGAGGCAAGGATGATGGAGGCAAGGATGATGGAGGCAAGGATGATGGAGGCAAGGATGATGGAGGCAAGGATGATGGAGGCAAGGATGATGGAGGCAAGGATGATGGAGGCAAGGATGATGGAGGCAAGGATGATGGAGGCAAGGATGATGGAGGCAAGGATGATGGAGGCAAGGATGATGGAGGCAAGGATGATGGAGGCAAGGATGATGGAGGCAAGGATGATGGAGGCAAGGATGATGGAGGCAAGGATGATGGAGGCAAGGATGATGGAGGCAAGGATGATGGAGGCAAGGATGATGGAGGCAAGGATGATGGAGGCAAGGATGATGGAGGCAAGGATGATGGAGGCAAGGATGATGGAGGCAAGGATGATGGAGGCAAGGATGATGGAGGCAAGGATGATGGAGGCAAGGATGATGGAGGCAAGGATGATGGAGGCAAGGATGATGGAGGCAAGGATGATGGAGGCAAGGATGATGGAGGCAAGGATGATGGAGGCAAGGATGATGGAGGCAAGGATGATGGAGGCAAGGATGATGGAGGCAAGGATGATGGAGGCAAGGATGATGGAGGCAAGGATGATGGAGGCAAGGATGATGGAGGCAAGGATGATGGAGGCAAGGATGATGGAGGCAAGGATGATGGAGGCAAGGATGATGGAGGCAAGGATGATGGAGGCAAGGATGATGGAGGCAAGGATGATGGAGGCAAGGATGATGGAGGCAAGGATGATGGAGGCAAGGATGATGGAGGCAAGGATGATGGAGGCAAGGATGATGGAGGCAAGGATGATGGAGGCAAGGATGATGGAGGCAAGGATGATGGAGGCAAGGATGATGGAGGCAAGGATGATGGAGGCAAGGATGATGGAGGCAAGGATGATGGAGGCAAGGATGATGGAGGCAAGGATGATGGAGGCAAGGATGATGGAGGCAAGGATGATGGAGGCAAGGATGATGGAGGCAAGGATGATGGAGGCAAGGATGATGGAGGCAAGGATGATGGAGGCAAGGATGATGGAGGCAAGGATGATGGAGGCAAGGATGATGGAGGCAAGGATGATGGAGGCAAGGATGATGGAGGCAAGGATGATGGAGGCAAGGATGATGGAGGCAAGGATGATGGAGGCAAGGATGATGGAGGCAAGGATGATGGAGGCAAGGATGATGGAGGCAAGGATGATGGAGGCAAGGATGATGGAGGCAAGGATGATGGAGGCAAGGATGATGGAGGCAAGGATGATGGAGGCAAGGATGATGGAGGCAAGGATGATGGAGGCAAGGATGATGGAGGCAAGGATGATGGAGGCAAGGATGATGGAGGCAAGGATGATGGAGGCAAGGATGATGGAGGCAAGGATGATGGAGGCAAGGATGATGGAGGCAAGGATGATGGAGGCAAGGATGATGGAGGCAAGGATGATGGAGGCAAGGATGATGGAGGCAAGGATGATGGAGGCAAGGATGATGGAGGCAAGGATGATGGAGGCAAGGATGATGGAGGCAAGGATGATGGAGGCAAGGATGATGGAGGCAAGGATGATGGAGGCAAGGATGATGGAGGCAAGGATGATGGAGGCAAGGATGATGGAGGCAAGGATGATGGAGGCAAGGATGATGGAGGCAAGGATGATGGAGGCAAGGATGATGGAGGCAAGGATGATGGAGGCAAGGATGATGGAGGCAAGGATGATGGAGGCAAGGATGATGGAGGCAAGGATGATGGAGGCAAGGATGATGGAGGCAAGGATGATGGAGGCAAGGATGATGGAGGCAAGGATGATGGAGGCAAGGATGATGGAGGCAAGGATGATGGAGGCAAGGATGATGGAGGCAAGGATGATGGAGGCAAGGATGATGGAGGCAAGGATGATGGAGGCAAGGATGATGGAGGCAAGGATGATGGAGGCAAGGATGATGGAGGCAAGGATGATGGAGGCAAGGATGATGGAGGCAAGGATGATGGAGGCAAGGATGATGGAGGCAAGGATGATGGAGGCAAGGATGATGGAGGCAAGGATGATGGAGGCAAGGATGATGGAGGCAAGGATGATGGAGGCAAGGATGATGGAGGCAAGGATGATGGAGGCAAGGATGATGGAGGCAAGGATGATGGAGGCAAGGATGATGGAGGCAAGGATGATGGAGGCAAGGATGATGGAGGCAAGGATGATGGAGGCAAGGATGATGGAGGCAAGGATGATGGAGGCAAGGATGATGGAGGCAAGGATGATGGAGGCAAGGATGATGGAGGCAAGGATGATGGAGGCAAGGATGATGGAGGCAAGGATGATGGAGGCAAGGATGATGGAGGCAAGGATGATGGAGGCAAGGATGATGGAGGCAAGGATGATGGAGGCAAGGATGATGGAGGCAAGGATGATGGAGGCAAGGATGATGGAGGCAAGGATGATGGAGGCAAGGATGATGGAGGCAAGGATGATGGAGGCAAGGATGATGGAGGCAAGGATGATGGAGGCAAGGATGATGGAGGCAAGGATGATGGAGGCAAGGATGATGGAGGCAAGGATGATGGAGGCAAGGATGATGGAGGCAAGGATGATGGAGGCAAGGATGATGGAGGCAAGGATGATGGAGGCAAGGATGATGGAGGCAAGGATGATGGAGGCAAGGATGATGGAGGCAAGGATGATGGAGGCAAGGATGATGGAGGCAAGGATGATGGAGGCAAGGATGATGGAGGCAAGGATGATGGAGGCAAGGATGATGGAGGCAAGGATGATGGAGGCAAGGATGATGGAGGCAAGGATGATGGAGGCAAGGATGATGGAGGCAAGGATGATGGAGGCAAGGATGATGGAGGCAAGGATGATGGAGGCAAGGATGATGGAGGCAAGGATGATGGAGGCAAGGATGATGGAGGCAAGGATGATGGAGGCAAGGATGATGGAGGCAAGGATGATGGAGGCAAGGATGATGGAGGCAAGGATGATGGAGGCAAGGATGATGGAGGCAAGGATGATGGAGGCAAGGATGATGGAGGCAAGGATGATGGAGGCAAGGATGATGGAGGCAAGGATGATGGAGGCAAGGATGATGGAGGCAAGGATGATGGAGGCAAGGATGATGGAGGCAAGGATGATGGAGGCAAGGATGATGGAGGCAAGGATGATGGAGGCAAGGATGATGGAGGCAAGGATGATGGAGGCAAGGATGATGGAGGCAAGGATGATGGAGGCAAGGATGATGGAGGCAAGGATGATGGAGGCAAGGATGATGGAGGCAAGGATGATGGAGGCAAGGATGATGGAGGCAAGGATGATGGAGGCAAGGATGATGGAGGCAAGGATGATGGAGGCAAGGATGATGGAGGCAAGGATGATGGAGGCAAGGATGATGGAGGCAAGGATGATGGAGGCAAGGATGATGGAGGCAAGGATGATGGAGGCAAGGATGATGGAGGCAAGGATGATGGAGGCAAGGATGATGGAGGCAAGGATGATGGAGGCAAGGATGATGGAGGCAAGGATGATGGAGGCAAGGATGATGGAGGCAAGGATGATGGAGGCAAGGATGATGGAGGCAAGGATGATGGAGGCAAGGATGATGGAGGCAAGGATGATGGAGGCAAGGATGATGGAGGCAAGGATGATGGAGGCAAGGATGATGGAGGCAAGGATGATGGAGGCAAGGATGATGGAGGCAAGGATGATGGAGGCAAGGATGATGGAGGCAAGGATGATGGAGGCAAGGATGATGGAGGCAAGGATGATGGAGGCAAGGATGATGGAGGCAAGGATGATGGAGGCAAGGATGATGGAGGCAAGGATGATGGAGGCAAGGATGATGGAGGCAAGGATGATGGAGGCAAGGATGATGGAGGCAAGGATGATGGAGGCAAGGATGATGGAGGCAAGGATGATGGAGGCAAGGATGATGGAGGCAAGGATGATGGAGGCAAGGATGATGGAGGCAAGGATGATGGAGGCAAGGATGATGGAGGCAAGGATGATGGAGGCAAGGATGATGGAGGCAAGGATGATGGAGGCAAGGATGATGGAGGCAAGGATGATGGAGGCAAGGATGATGGAGGCAAGGATGATGGAGGCAAGGATGATGGAGGCAAGGATGATGGAGGCAAGGATGATGGAGGCAAGGATGATGGAGGCAAGGATGATGGAGGCAAGGATGATGGAGGCAAGGATGATGGAGGCAAGGATGATGGAGGCAAGGATGATGGAGGCAAGGATGATGGAGGCAAGGATGATGGAGGCAAGGATGATGGAGGCAAGGATGATGGAGGCAAGGATGATGGAGGCAAGGATGATGGAGGCAAGGATGATGGAGGCAAGGATGATGGAGGCAAGGATGATGGAGGCAAGGATGATGGAGGCAAGGATGATGGAGGCAAGGATGATGGAGGCAAGGATGATGGAGGCAAGGATGATGGAGGCAAGGATGATGGAGGCAAGGATGATGGAGGCAAGGATGATGGAGGCAAGGATGATGGAGGCAAGGATGATGGAGGCAAGGATGATGGAGGCAAGGATGATGGAGGCAAGGATGATGGAGGCAAGGATGATGGAGGCAAGGATGATGGAGGCAAGGATGATGGAGGCAAGGATGATGGAGGCAAGGATGATGGAGGCAAGGATGATGGAGGCAAGGATGATGGAGGCAAGGATGATGGAGGCAAGGATGATGGAGGCAAGGATGATGGAGGCAAGGATGATGGAGGCAAGGATGATGGAGGCAAGGATGATGGAGGCAAGGATGATGGAGGCAAGGATGATGGAGGCAAGGATGATGGAGGCAAGGATGATGGAGGCAAGGATGATGGAGGCAAGGATGATGGAGGCAAGGATGATGGAGGCAAGGATGATGGAGGCAAGGATGATGGAGGCAAGGATGATGGAGGCAAGGATGATGGAGGCAAGGATGATGGAGGCAAGGATGATGGAGGCAAGGATGATGGAGGCAAGGATGATGGAGGCAAGGATGATGGAGGCAAGGATGATGGAGGCAAGGATGATGGAGGCAAGGATGATGGAGGCAAGGATGATGGAGGCAAGGATGATGGAGGCAAGGATGATGGAGGCAAGGATGATGGAGGCAAGGATGATGGAGGCAAGGATGATGGAGGCAAGGATGATGGAGGCAAGGATGATGGAGGCAAGGATGATGGAGGCAAGGATGATGGAGGCAAGGATGATGGAGGCAAGGATGATGGAGGCAAGGATGATGGAGGCAAGGATGATGGAGGCAAGGATGATGGAGGCAAGGATGATGGAGGCAAGGATGATGGAGGCAAGGATGATGGAGGCAAGGATGATGGAGGCAAGGATGATGGAGGCAAGGATGATGGAGGCAAGGATGATGGAGGCAAGGATGAGAGAGGCAAGGATGATGGAGGCAAGGATGATGGAGGCAAGGATGATGGAGGCAAGGATGATGGAGGCAAGGATGATGGAGGCAAGGATGATGGAGGCAAGGATGATGGAAGCAAGGATGATGGAGGCAAGGATGATGGAGGCAAGGATGATGGAGGCAAGGATGATGGAGGCAAGGATGATGGAGGCAAGGATGATGGAGGCAAGGATGATGGAGGCAAGGATGATGGAGGCAAGGATGATGGAGGCAAGGATGATGGAGGCAAGGATGATGGAGGCAAGGATGATGGAGGCAAGGATGATGGAGGCAAGGATGATGGAGGCAAGGATGATGGAGGCAAGGATGATGGCAAGAGATGGAGCAAGGATGATGGAGGCAAGGATGATGGAAGGCAAGGATGATGGAAGCAAGGATGATGGAAGGCAAGGATGATGGAGGCAAGGATGATGGATGCAAGGATGATGGAGGCAAGGATGATGGAAGGCAAGGATGATGGAGGCAAGGATGATGGAGGCAAGGATGATGGAGGCAAGGATGATGGAGGCAAGGATGATGGAGGCAAGGATGATGGTAGGCAAGGATGATGGAGGCAAGGATGATGGAGGCAAGGATGATGGAGGCTAAGGATGATGGAGGCAAGGCATGATGGAAGGCAAGGATGATGGAGGCAAGGATGATGGAGGCAAGGATGATGGTAGGCAAGGATGATGGAGGCAAGGATGATGGAGGCTAGGATAATGAGGCAAGGATGATGGAGGCAAGGATGATGGAGGCAAGGATGATGGAGGCAAGGATGATGGAGGCAAGGATGATGGAGGCAAGGATGATGGAGGCAAGGATGATGGAGGCTAGGATGATGGAGGCAAGGATGATGGAGGCAAGGATGATGGAGGCAAGGATGATGGAGGCCAAGGATGATGGAGGCAAGGATGATGGAGGCAAGGATGATGGAGGCAAGATGATGGAGGCAAGGATGATGGAGGCAAGGATGATGGAGGCAAGGATGATGGAGGCAAGGATTGATGGAGGCAAGGATGATGGAGGCAAGGATGATGGAGGAAGTATGATGGAGGCAAGGATGATGGATGGCAAGGATGATGGACTGGCAAGGATGATTGGATGGCTAGGATGATGGGGCAAGGATGATGAGGTAGGTGAGCAATGAGGAGGCAAGGATGATGGAGGCAAGGATGATGGTGGCAAGGATGATGGAGCAAGGATGATGGAGGCAAGGATGATGGTGAGGCAAGGATGATGAGGCAAGGATGATGGAGGCAAGGATGATGGAGGGCAAGGATGATGGAGGCAAGGAGATGGAGGCAAGGATGATGGAGGCAAGGATGATGGAGGCAAGGTTGATGAGGGTGATGGGGCAAGGATGATGGAGGCAAGGATGATGGAGGCAAGGATGATGGAGGCAAGGATGATGGAGGCAAGGATGATGGAGGCAAGGATGATGGAGGCAAGGATGATGGAGGCAAGGATGATGGAGGCAAGGATGATGGCAGGCAAGGATGATGGAAGGCAAGGATTATGGAGGCAAGGATGATGGAGGCAAGGATGATGGAGGCAAGGATGATGGAAGCAAGGATGATGGTGGCAAGGATGATGGTGGCAAGGATGATGGAGGCTAGGATGATGGAGGCAAGGATGATGGAGGCAAGGATGATGGAGGCAAGGATGATGGAGGCAAAGATGATGGAGGCAAGGATGATGGTGGCAAGGATGATGGAGGCAAGGATGATGGAGGCAAGGATGATGGAGGCAAGGATGATGGAGGCAAGGATGATGGTGGCAAGGATGATGGATGCAAGGATGATGGAGGCAAGGATGATGGAGGCAAGGATGATGGAAGCAAGGATGATGGAAGCAAGGATGATGGAGGCAAGGATGATGGAGGCAAGGATGATGGAAGCAAGGATGATGGAGGCAAGGATGATTGAGGCAAGGATGATGGAGGCAAGGATGATGGAGGCAAGGATGATGGAGGCAAGGATGATGGAGGCAAGGATGATGGAGGCAAGGATGATGTAAGCAAGGATGATGGAAGCAAGGATGATTGGAGGCAAGGATGAGGCAAGGATGATGGAGGCAAGGATGATGGAGGCAAGGATGATGGAGGCAAGGATGATGGAGGCAAGGGATGATGGAGGCGAGGATGATGGAGGCGAGGATGATGGAGGCAAGGATGATGGAGGCAAGGATGATGGAGGCAAGGATGATGGAGGCAAGGATGATGGAGGCAAGGATGATGGAGGCAAGGATGATGGAGGCAAGGATGATGGAGGCAAGGATGATGGTGGCAAGGATGATGGATGCAACGATGATGGAGGCAAGGATGATGGAGGCAAGGATGATGGAGGCAAGGATGATGGAGGCAAGGATGATGGAAGCAAGGATGATGGAAGCAAGGATGATGGAGGCAAGGATGATGGAAGCAAGGATGATGGAAGCAAGGATGATTGAGGCAAGGATGATTGAGGCAAGGATGATGGAGGCAAGGATGATGGAGGCAAGGATGATGGAGGCAAGGATGATGGAGGCAAGGATGATGGAAGCAAGGATGATGGAAGCAAGGATGATGGAGGCAAGGATGATGGAGGCAAGGATGATGGTGGCAAGGATGATGGAGGCAAGGATGATGGAGGCAAGGATGATGGAGGCAAGGATGATGGAGGCAAGGATGATGGAGGCAAGGATGATGGAGGCAAGGATGATGGTGGCAAGGATGATGGTGGCAAGGATGATGGAGGCAAGGATGATGGAGGCTAGGATGATGGAGGCAAGGATGATGGAGGCAAGGATGATGGAGGCAAGGATGATGGTGGCAAGGATGATGGTGGCAAGGATGATGGAGGCAAGGATGATGGACGCTAGGATGATGGAGGCAAGGATGATGGAGGCAAGGATGATGGAGGCAAGGATGATGGAGGCAAGGATGATGGAGGCAAGGATGATGGAGGCAAGGATGATGGAGGCAAGGATGATGGAGGCAAGGATGATGGAGGCAAGGATGATGGAGGCAAGGATGATGGAGGCAAGGATGATGGAGGCAAGGATGATGGAGGCAAGGATGATGGAGGCAAGGATGATGGAGGCAAGGATGATGGAGGCAAGGATGATGGTGGCAAGGATGATGGTGGCAAGGATGATGGAGGCTAGGATGATGGAGGCAAGGATGATGGAGGCAAGGATGATGGAGGCAAGGATGATAGAGGCAAGGATGATGGAGGCAAGGATGATGGTGGCAAGGATGATGGAGGCAAGGATGATGGAGGCAAGGATGATGGAGGCAAGGATGATGGAGGCAAGGATGATGGAGGCAAGGATGATGGAGGCAAGGATGATGGAGGCAAGGATGATGGTGGCAAGGATGATGGTGGCAAGGATGATGGAGGCAAGGATGATGGAGGCTAGGATGATGGAGGCAAGGATGATGGAGGCAAGGATGATGGAGGCAAGGATGATGGAGGCAAGGATGATGGAGGCAAGGATGATGGAGGCAAGGATGATGGAGGCAAGGATGATGGAGGCAAGGATGAGGGAGGCAAGGATGATGGAGGCAAGGATGAGGGAGGCAAGGATGATGGAGGCAAGGATGATGGAGGCAAGGATGATGGAGGCAAGGACGATGGAGGCAAGGATTATGGAGGCAAGGATGATGGAGGCAAGGATGATGGAGGCAAGGATGATGGAAGCAAGGATGATGGTGGCAAGGATGATGGTGGCAAGGATGATGGAGGCTAGGATGATGGAGGCAAGGATGATGGAGGCAAGGATGATGGAGGCAAGGATGATGGAGGCAAAGATGATGGAGGCAAGGATGATGGTGGCAAGGATGATGGAGGCAAGGATGATGGAGGCAAGGATGATGGAGGCAAGGATGATGGAGGCAAGGATGATGGAGGCAAGGATGATGGTGGCAAGGATGATGGATGCAAGGATGATGGAGGCAAGGATGATGGAGGCAAGGATGATGGAGGCAAGGATGATGGAGGCAAGGATGATGGAGGCAAGGATGATGGTGGCAAGGATGATGGAGGCAAGGATGATGGAGGCAAGGATGAGGGAGGCAAGGATGATGGAGGCAAGGATGATGGAGGCAAGGATGATGCAGGCAAGGATGAGGGAGGCAAGGATGATGGAGGCAAGGATGATGGAGGCAAGGATGATGGAGGCAAGGACGATGAAGGCAAGGATTATGGAGGCAAGGATGATGGAGGCAAGGATGATGGAGGCAAGGATGATGGAAGCAAGGATGATGGTGGCAAGGATGATGGTGGCAAGGATGATGGAGGCTAGGATGATGGAGGCAAGGATGATGGAGGCAAGGATGATGGAGGCAAGGATGATGGAGGCAAAGATGATGGAGGCAAGGATGATGGTGGCAAGGATGATGGAGGCAAGGATGATGGAGGCAAGGATGATGGAGGCAAGGATGATGGAGGCAAGGATGATGGTGGCAAGGATGATGGATGCAAGGATGATGGAGGCAAGGATGATGGAGGCAAGGATGATGGAAGCAAGGATGATGGAAGCAAGGATGATGGAGGCAAGGATGATGGAGGCAAGGATGATGGAAGCAAGGATGATGGAGGCAAGGATGATTGAGGCAAGGATGATGGAGGCAAGGATGATGGAGGCAAGGATGATGGAGGCAAGGATGATGGAGGCAAGGATGATGGAGGCAAGGATGATGGTGGCAAGGATGATGGATGCAAGGATGATGGAGGCAAGGATGATGGAGGCAAGGATGATGGAGGCAAGGATGATGGAGGCAAGGATGATGGAGGCAAGGATGATGGTGGCAAGGATGATGGAGGCAAGGATGATGGAGGCAAGGATGAGGGAGGCAAGGATGATGGAGGCAAGGATGATGGAGGCAAGGATGATGCAGGCAAGGATGAGGGAGGCAAGGATGATGGAGGCAAGGATGATGGAGGCAAGGATGATGGAGGCAAGGACGATGAAGGCAAGGATTATGGAGGCAAGGATGATGGAGGCAAGGATGATGGAGGCAAGGATGATGGAAGCAAGGATGATGGTGGCAAGGATGATGGTGGCAAGGATGATGGAGGCTAGGATGATGGAGGCAAGGATGATGGAGGCAAGGATGATGGAGGCAAGGATGATGGAGGCAAAGATGATGGAGGCAAGGATGATGGTGGCAAGGATGATGGAGGCAAGGATGATGGAGGCAAGGATGATGGAGGCAAGGATGATGGAGGCAAGGATGATGGTGGCAAGGATGATGGATGCAAGGATGATGGAGGCAAGGATGATGGAGGCAAGGATGATGGAAGCAAGGATGATGGAAGCAAGGATGATGGAGGCAAGGATGATGGAGGCAAGGATGATGGAAGCAAGGATGATGGAGGCAAGGATGATTGAGGCAAGGATGATGGAGGCAAGGATGATGGAGGCAAGGATGATGGAGGCAAGGATGATGGAGGCAAGGATGATGGAGGCAAGGATGATGTAAGCAAGGATGATGGAAGCAAGGATGATGGAGGCAAGGATGATGGAGGCAAGGATGATGGAGGCAAGGATGATGGAGGCAAGGGATGATGGAGGCGAGGATGATGGAGGCGAGGATGATGGAGGCAAGGATGATGGAGGCAAGGATGATGGAGGCAAGGATGATGGAGGCAAGGATGATGGAGGCAAGGATGATGGAGGCAAGGATGATGGAGGCAAGGATGATGGAGGCAAGGATGATGGTGGCAAGGATGATTGATGCAACGATGATGGAGGCAAGGATGATGGAGGCAAGGATGATGGAGGCAAGGATGATGGAGGCAAGGATGATGGAAGCAAGGATGATGGAAGCAAGGATGATGGAGGCAAGGATGATGGAAGCAAGGATGATGGAAGCAAGGATGATTGAGGCAAGGATGATTGAGGCAAGGATGATGGAGGCAAGGATGATGGAGGCAAGGATGATGGAGGCAAGGATGATGGAGGCAAGGATGATGGAAGCAAGGATGATGGAAGCAAGGATGATGGAGGCAAGGATGATGGAGGCAAGGATGATGGTGGCAAGGATGATGGAGGCAAGGATGATGGAGGCAAGGATGATGGAGGCAAGGATGATGGAGGCAAGGATGATGGAGGCAAGGATGATGGAGGCAAGGATGATGGTGGCAAGGATGATGGTGGTAAGGATGATGGAGGCAAGGATGATGGAGGCTAGGATGATGGAGGCAAGGATGATGGAGGCAAGGATGATGGAGGCAAGGATGATGGTGGCAAGGATGATGGTGGCAAGGATGATGGAGGCAAGGATGATGGAGGCTAGGATGATGGAGGCAAGGATGATGGAGGCAAGGATGATGGAGGCAAGGATGATGGAGGCAAGGATGATGGAGGCAAGGATGATGGAGGCAAGGATGATGGAGGCAAGGATGATGGAGGCAAGGATGATGGAGGCAAGGATGATGGAGGCAAGGATGATGGAGGCAAGGATGATGGAGGCAAGGATGATGGAGGCAAGGATGATGGAGGCAAGGATGATGGAGGCAAGGATGATGGAGGCAAGGATGATGGAGGCAAGGATGATGGTGGCAAGGATGATGGTGGCAAGGATGATGGAGGCTAGGATGATGGAGGCAAGGATGATGGAGGCAAGGATGATGGAGGCAAGGATGATGGAGGCAAGGATGATGGAGGCAAGGATGATGGTGGCAAGGATGATGGAGGCAAGGATGATGGAGGCAAGGATGATGGAGGCAAGGATGATGGAGGCAAGGATGATGGAGGCAAGGATGATGGAGGCAAGGATGATGGAGGCAAGGATGATGGTGGCAAGGATGATGGTGGCAAGGATGATGGAGGCAAGGATGATGGAGGCTAGGATGATGGAGGCAAGGATGATGGAGGCAAGGATGATGGAGGCAAGGATGATGGAGGCAAGGATGATGGAGGCAAGGATGATGGAGGCAAGGATGATGGAGGCAAGGATGATGGAGGCAAGGATGAGGGAGGCAAGGATGATGGAGGCAAGGATGAGGGAGGCAAGGATGATGGAGGCAAGGATGATGGAGGCAAGGATGATGGAGGCAAGGACGATGGAGGCAAGGATTATGGAGGCAAGGATGATGGAGGCAAGGATGATGGAGGCAAGGATGATGGAAGCAAGGATGATGGTGGCAAGGATGATGGTGGCAAGGATGATGGAGGCTAGGATGATGGAGGCAAGGATGATGGAGGCAAGGATGATGGAGGCAAGGATGATGGAGGCAAAGATGATGGAGGCAAGGATGATGGTGGCAAGGATGATGGAGGCAAGGATGATGGAGGCAAGGATGATGGAGGCAAGGATGATGGAGGCAAGGATGATGGAGGCAAGGATGATGGTGGCAAGGATGATGGATGCAAGGATGATGGAGGCAAGGATGATGGAGGCAAGGATGATGGAAGCAAGGATGATGGAAGCAAGGATGATGGAGGCAAGGATGATGGAGGCAAGGATGATGGAAGCAAGGATGATGGAGGCAAGGATGATTGAGGCAAGGATGATGGAGGCAAGGATGATGGAGGCAAGGATGATGGAGGCAAGGATGATGGAGGCAAGGATGATGGAGGCAAGGATGATGTAAGCAAGGATGATGGAAGCAAGGATGATGGAGGCAAGGATGATGGAGGCAAGGATGATGGAGGCAAGGATGATGGAGGCAAGGGATGATGGAGGCGAGGATGATGGAGGCGAGGATGATGGAGGCAAGGATGATGGAGGCAAGGATGATGGAGGCAAGGATGATGGAGGCAAGGATGATGGAGGCAAGGATGATGGAGGCAAGGATGATGGAGGCAAGGATGATGGAGGCAAGGATGATGGTGGCAAGGATGATGGATGCAACGATGATGGAGGCAAGGATGATGGAGGCAAGGATGATGGAGGCAAGGATGATGGAGGCAAGGATGATGGAAGCAAGGATGATGGAAGCAAGGATGATGGAGGCAAGGATGATGGAAGCAAGGATGATGGAAGCAAGGATGATTGAGGCAAGGATGATGGAGGCAAGGATGATGGAGGCAAGGATGATGGAGGCAAGGATGAGGGAGGCAAGGATGATGGAGGCAAGGATGATGGAGGCAAGGATGATGGAAGCAAGGATGATGGAAGCAAGGATTATGGAGGCAAGGATGATGGAGGCAAGGATGATGGAGGCAAGGATGATGGAGGCAAGGATGATGGTGGCAAGGATGATGGAGGCAAGGATGATGGAGGCAAGGATGATGGAAGCAAGGATGATGGAAGCAAGGATGATGGAGGCAAGGATGATGGAGGCAAGGATGATGGAGGCAAGGATGATGGAGGCAAGGATGATGGAGGCAAGGATGATGGAGGCAAGGATGATGGAGGCAAGGATGATGGAGGCAAGGATGATGGTGGCAAGGATGATGGAGGCAAGGATGATGGAGGCAAGGATGATGGAGGCAAGGATGATGGTGGCAAGGATGATGGAGGCAAGGATGATGGAGGCAAGGATGATGGAGGCAAGGATGATGGAGGCAAGGATGATGGAGGCAAGGATGATGGAGGCAAGGATGATGGAGGCAAGGATGATGGTGGCAAGGATGATGGAGGCAAGGATGATGGAGGCTAGGATGATGGAGGCAAGGATGATGGAGGCAAGGATGATGGAGGCAAGGATGATGGAGGCAAGGATGATGGAGGCAAGGATGATGGAGGCAAGGATGATGGAGGCAAGGATGATGGAGGCAAGGATGAGGGAGGCAAGGATGATGGAGGCAAGGATGAGGGAGGCAAGGATGATGGAGGCAAGGATGATGGAGGCAAGGATGATGGAGGCAAGGACGATGGAGGCAAGGATTATGGAGGCAAGGATGATGGAGGCAAGGATGATGGAGGCAAGGATGATGGAAGCAAGGATGATGGTGGCAAGGATGATGGTGGCAAGGATGATGGAGGCTAGGATGATGGAGGCAAGGATGATGGAGGCAAGGATGATGGAGGCAAGGATGATGGAGGCAAAGATGATGGAGGCAAGGATGATGGTGGCAAGGATGATGGAGGCAAGGATGATGGAGGCAAGGATGATGGAGGCAAGGATGATGGAGGCAAGGATGATGGAGGCAAGGATGATGGTGGCAAGGATGATGGAGGCAAGGATTATGGAGGCAAGGATGATGGAGGCAAGGATGATGGAGGCAAGGATGATGGAAGCAAGGATGATGGTGGCAAGGATGATGGTGGCAAGGATGATGGAGGCTAGGATGATGGAGGCAAGGATGATGGAGGCAAGGATGATGGAGGCAAGGATGATGGAGGCAAAGATGATGGAGGCAAGGATGATGGTGGCAAGGATGATGGAGGCAAGGATGATGGAGGCAAGGATGATGGAGGCAAGGATGATGGAGGCAAGGATGATGGAGGCAAGGATGATGGTGGCAAGGATGATGGATGCAAGGATGATGGAGGCAAGGATGATGGAGGCAAGGATGATGGAAGCAAGGATGATGGAAGCAAGGATGATGGAGGCAAGGATGATGGAGGCAAGGATGATGGAAGCAAGGATGATGGAGGCAAGGATGATTGAGGCAAGGATGATGGAGGCAAGGATGATGGAGGCAAGGATGATGGAGGCAAGGATGATGGAGGCAAGGATGATGGAGGCAAGGATGATGGTGGCAAGGATGATGGAGGCAAGGATGATGGAGGCAAGGATGATGGAGGCAAGGATGATGGAGGCAAGGATGATGGAGGCAAGGATGATGGAGGCAAGGATGATGGAGGCAAGGATGATGGTGGCAAGGATGATGGTGGCAAGGATGATGGAGGCAAGGATGATGGAGGCTAGGATGATGGAGGCAAGGATGATGGAGGCAAGGATGATGGAGGCAAGGATGATGGAGGCAAGGATGATGGAGGCAAGGATGATGGAGGCAAGGATGATGGAGGCAAGGATGATGGAGGCAAGGATGAGGGAGGCAAGGATGATGGAGGCAAGGATGAGGGAGGCAAGGATGATGGAGGCAAGGATGATGGAGGCAAGGATGATGGAGGCAAGGACGATGGAGGCAAGGATTATGGAGGCAAGGATGATGGAGGCAAGGATGATGGAGGCAAGGATGATGGAAGCAAGGATGATGGTGGCAAGGATGATGGTGGCAAGGATGATGGAGGCTAGGATGATGGAGGCAAGGATGATGGAGGCAAGGATGATGGAGGCAAGGATGATGGAGGCAAAGATGATGGAGGCAAGGATGATGGTGGCAAGGATGATGGAGGCAAGGATGATGGAGGCAAGGATGATGGAGGCAAGGATGATGGAGGCAAGGATGATGGAGGCAAGGATGATGGTGGCAAGGATGATGGATGCAAGGATGATGGAGGCAAGGATGATGGAGGCAAGGATGATGGAAGCAAGGATGATGGAAGCAAGGATGATGGAGGCAAGGATGATGGAGGCAAGGATGATGGAAGCAAGGATGATGGAGGCAAGGATGATTGAGGCAAGGATGATGGAGGCAAGGATGATGGAGGCAAGGATGATGGAGGCAAGGATGATGGAGGCAAGGATGATGGAGGCAAGGATGATGTAAGCAAGGATGATGGAAGCAAGGATGATGGAGGCAAGGATGATGGAGGCAAGGATGATGGAGGCAAGGATGATGGAGGCAAGGGATGATGGAGGCGAGGATGATGGAGGCGAGGATGATGGAGGCAAGGATGATGGAGGCAAGGATGATGGAGGCAAGGATGATGGAGGCAAGGATGATGGAGGCAAGGATGATGGAGGCAAGGATGATGGAGGCAAGGATGATGGAGGCAAGGATGATGGTGGCAAGGATGATGGATGCAACGATGATGGAGGCAAGGATGATGGAGGCAAGGATGATGGAGGCAAGGATGATGGAGGCAAGGATGATGGAAGCAAGGATGATGGAAGCAAGGATGATGGAGGCAAGGATGATGGAAGCAAGGATGATGGAAGCAAGGATGATTGAGGCAAGGATGATGGAGGCAAGGATGATGGAGGCAAGGATGATGGAGGCAAGGATGAGGGAGGCAAGGATGATGGAGGCAAGGATGATGGAGGCAAGGATGATGGAAGCAAGGATGATGGAAGCAAGGATTATGGAGGCAAGGATGATGGAGGCAAGGATGATGGAGGCAAGGATGATGGAGGCAAGGATGATGGTGGCAAGGATGATGGAGGCAAGGATGATGGAGGCAAGGATGATGGAAGCAAGGATGATGGAAGCAAGGATGATGGAGGCAAGGATGATGGAGGCAAGGATGATGGAGGCAAGGATGATGGAGGCAAGGATGATGGAGGCAAGGATGATGGAGGCAAGGATGATGGAGGCAAGGATGATGGAGGCAAGGATGATGGTGGCAAGGATGATGGTGGCAAGGATGATGGAGGCAAGGATGATGGAGGCTAGGATGATGGAGGCAAGGATGATGGAGGCAAGGATGATGGAGGCAAGGATGATGGAGGCAAGGATGATGGAGGCAAGGATGATAGAGGCAAGGATGAGGGAGGCAAGGATGATGGAGGCAAGGATGATGGAGGCAAGGATGATGGAGGCAAGGATGAGGGAGGCAAGGATGATGGAGGCAAGGATGATGGAGGCAAGGATGATGGAGGCAAGGACGATGGAGGCAAGGATTATGGAGGCAAGGATGATGGAGGCAAGGATGATGGAGGCAAGGATGATGGAAGCAAGGATGATGGTGGCAAGGATGATGGTGGCAAGGATGATGGAGGCTAGGATGATGGAAGCAAGGATGATGGAGGCAAGGATGATGGAGGCAAGGATGATGGAAGCAAGGATGATGGAAGCAAGGATGATGGAGGCAAGGATGATGGAGGCAAGGATGATGGAGGCAAGGATGATGGAGGCAAGGGATGATGGAGGCGAGGATGATGGAGGCGAGGATGATGGAGGCAAGGATGATGGAGGCAAGGATGATTGAGGCAAGGATGATGGAGGCAAGGATGATGTTAGCAAGGATGATGGAAGCAAGGATGATGGAGGCAAGGATGATGGAGGCAAGGATGATGGAGGCAAGGATGATGGAGGCAAGGGATGATGGAGGCGAGGATGATGGAGGCGAGGATGATGGAGGCAAGGATGGTGGAGGCAAGGATGATGGAGGCAAGGATGATGGAGGCAAGGATGATGGAGGCAAGGATCATGGAGGCAAGGATGATGGAGGCAAGGATGATGGAGGCAAGGATGATGGTGGCAAGGATGATGGATGCAACGATGATGGAGGCAAGGATGATGGAGGCAAGGATGATGGAGGCAAGGATGATGGAGGCAAGGATGATGGAAGCAAGGATGATGGAAGCAAGGATGATGGAGGCAAGGATGATGGAAGCAAGGATGATGGAAGCAAGGATGATTGAGGCAAGGATGATGGAGGCAAGGATGATGGAGGCAAGGATGATGGAGGCAAGGATGAGGGAGGCAAGGATGATGGAGGCAAGGATGATGGAGGCAAGGATGATGGAAGCAAGGATGATGGAAGCAAGGATTATGGAGGCAAGGATGATGGAGGCAAGGATGATGGAGGCAAGGATGATGGAAGCAAGGATGATGGAGGCAAGGATGATTGAGGCAAGGATGATGGAGGCAAGGATGATGGAGGCAAGGATGATGGAGGCAAGGATGATGGAGGCAAGGATGATGGAGGCAAGGATGATGTAAGCAAGGATGATGGAAGCAAGGATGATGGAGGCAAGGATGATGGAGGCAAGGATGATGGAGGCAAGGATGATTGAGGCAAGGGATGATGGAGGCGAGGATGATGGAGGCGAGGATGATGGAGGCAAGGATGATGGAGGCAAGGATGATGGAGGCAAGGATGATGGAGGCAAGGATGATGGAGGCAAGGATGATGGAGGCAAGGATGATGGAGGCAAGGATGATGGAGGCAAGGATGATGGTGGCAAGGATGATGGATGCAACGATGATGGAGGCAAGGATGATGGAGGCAAGGATGATGGAGGCAAGGATGATGGAGGCAAGGATGATGGAAGCAAGGATGATGGAAGCAAGGATGATGGAGGCAAGGATGATGGAAGCAAGGATGATGGAAGCAAGGATGATTGAGGCAAGGATGATGGAGGCAAGGATGATGGAGGCAAGGATGATGGAGGCAAGGATGAGGGAGGCAAGGATGATGGAGGCAAGGATGATGGAGGCAAGGATGATGGAAGCAAGGATGATGGAAGCAAGGATTATGGAGGCAAGGATGATGGAGGCAAGGATGATGGAGGCAAGGATGATGGAGGCAAGGATGATGGTGGCAAGGATGATGGAGGCAAGGATGATGGAGGCAAGGATGATGGAAGCAAGGATGATGGAAGCAAGGATGATGGAGGCAAGGATGATGGAGGCAAGGATGATGGAGGCAAGGATGATGGAGGCAAGGATGATGGAGGCAAGGATGATGGAGGCAAGGATGATGGAGGCAAGGATGATGGAGGCAAGGATGATGGTGGCAAGGATGATGGTGGCAAGGATGATGGAGGCAAGGATGATGGAGGCTAGGATGATGGAGGCAAGGATGATGGAGGCAAGGATGATGGAGGCAAGGATGATGGAGGCAAGGATGATGGAGGCAAGGATGATAGAGGCAAGGATGAGGGAGGCAAGGATGATGGAGGCAAGGATGATGGAGGCAAGGATGATGGAGGCAAGGATGAGGGAGGCAAGGATGATGGAGGCAAGGATGATGGAGGCAAGGACGATGGAGGCAAGGATTATGGAGGCAAGGATGATGGAGGCAAGGATGATGGAGGCAAGGATGATGGAAGCAAGGATGATGGTGGCAAGGATGATGGTGGCAAGGATGATGGAGGCTAGGATGATGGAAGCAAGGATGATGGAGGCAAGGATGATGGAGGCAAGGATGATGGAAGCAAGGATGATGGAAGCAAGGATGATGGAGGCAAGGATGATGGAGGCAAGGATGATGGAAGCAAGGATGATGGAGGCAAGGATGATTGAGGCAAGGATGATGGAGGCAAGGATGATGGAGGCAAGGATGATGGAGGCAAGGATGATGGAGGCAAGGATGATGGAGGCAAGGATGATGTAAGCAAGGATGATGGAAGCAAGGATGATGGAGGCAAGGATGATGGAGGCAAGGATGATGGAGGCAAGGATGATGGAGGCAAGGGATGATGGAGGCGAGGATGATGGAGGCGAGGATGATGGAGGCAAGGATGGTGGAGGCAAGGATGATGGAGGCAAGGATGATGGAGGCAAGGATGATGGAGGCAAGGATGATGGAGGCAAGGATGATGGAGGCAAGGATGATGGAGGCAAGGATGATGGTGGCAAGGATGATGGATGCAACGATGATGGAGGCAAGGATGATGGAGGCAAGGATGATGGAGGCAAGGATGATGGAGGCAAGGATGATGGAAGCAAGGATGATGGAAGCAAGGATGATGGAGGCAAGGATGATGGAAGCAAGGATGATGGAAGCAAGGATGATTGAGGCAAGGATGATGGAGGCAAGGATGATGGAGGCAAGGATGATGGAGGCAAGGATGAGGGAGGCAAGGATGATGGAGGCAAGGATGATGGAGGCAAGGATGATGGAAGCAAGGATGATGGAAGCAAGGATTATGGAGGCAAGGATGATGGAGGCAAGGATGATGGAGGCAAGGATGATGGAGGCAAGGATGATGGTGGCAAGGATGATGGAGGCAAGGATGATGGAGGCAAGGATGATGGAAGCAAGGATGATGGAAGCAAGGATGATGGAGGCAAGGATGATGGAGGCAAGGATGATGGAGGCAAGGATGATGGAGGCAAGGATGATGGAGGCAAGGATGATGGAGGCAAGGATGATGGAGGCAAGGATGATGGAGGCAAGGATGATGGTGGCAAGGATGATGGTGGCAAGGATGATGGAGGCAAGGATGATGGAGGCTAGGATGATGGAGGCAAGGATGATGGAGGCAAGGATGATGGAGGCAAGGATGATGGAGGCAAGGATGATGGAGGCAAGGATGATGGAGGCAAGGATGAGGGAGGCAAGGATGATGGAGGCAAGGATGATGGAGGCAAGGATGAGGGAGGCAAGGATGATGGAGGCAAGGATGATGGAGGCAAGGATGATGGAGGCAAGGACGATGGAGGCAAGGATTATGGAGGCAAGGATGATGGAGGCAAGGATGATGGAGGCAAGGATGATGGAGGCAAGGATGATGGAGGCAAGGATGATGGAGGCAAGGATGATGAAGGCAAGGATGATGGTGGCAAGGATGATGGATGCAACGATGATGGAGGCAAGGATGATGGAGGCAAGGATGATGGAAGCAAGGATGATGGAAGCAAGGATGATTGAGGCAAGGATGATGGAGGCAAGGATGATGGAGGCAAGGATGATGGAGGCAAGGATGAGGGAGGCAAGGATGATGGAGGCAAGGATGATGGAGGCAAGGATGATGGAAGCAAGGATGATGGAAGCAAGGATTATGGAGGCAAGGATGATGGAGGCAAGGATGATGGAGGCAAGGATGATGGAGGCAAGGATGATGGTGGCAAGGATGATGGAGGCAAGGATGATGGAGGCAAGGATGATGGAAGCAAGGATGATGGAAGCAAGGATGATGGAGGCAAGGATGATGGAGGCAAGGATGATGGAGGCAAGGATGATGGAGGCAAGGATGATGGAGGCAAGGATGATGGAGGCAAGGATGATGGAGCCAAGGATGATGGAGGCAAGGATGATGGTGGCAAGGATGATGGTGGCAAGGATGATGGAGGCAAGGATGATGGAGGCTAGGATGATGGAGGCAAGGATGATGGAGGCAAGGATGATGGAGGCAAGGATGATGGAGGCAAGGATGATGGAGGCAAGGATGATGGAGGCAAGGATGAGGGAGGCAAGGATGATGGAGGCAAGGATGATGGAGGCAAGGATGATGGAGGCAAGGATGAGGGAGGCAAGGATGATGGAGGCAAGGATGATGGAGGCAAGGATGATGGAGGCAAGGACGATGGAGGCAAGGATTATGGAGGCAAGGATGATGGAGGCAAGGATGATGGAGGCAAGGATGATGGAAGCAAGGATGATGGTGGCAAGGATGATGGTGGCAAGGATGATGGAGGCTAGGATGATGGAGGCAAGGATGATGGAGGCAAGGATGATGGAGGCAAGGATGATGGAAGCAAGGATGATGGAAGCAAGGATGATGGAGGCAAGGATGATGGAGGCAAGGATGATGGAAGCAAGGATGATGGAGGCAAGGATGATTGAGGCAAGGATGATGGAGGCAAGGATGATGGAGGCAAGGATGATGGAGGCAAGGATGATGGAGGCAAGGATGATGGAGGCAAGGATGATGTAAGCAAGGATGATGGAAGCAAGGATGATGGAGGCAAGGATGATGGAGGCAAGGATGATGGAGGCAAGGATGATGGAGGCAAGGGATGATGGAGGCGAGGATGATGGAGGCGAGGATGATGGAGGCAAGGATGATGGAGGCAAGGATGATGGAGGCAAGGATGATGGAGGCAAGGATGATGGAGGCAAGGATGATGGAGGCAAGGATGATGGAGGCAAGGATGATGATGGTGGCAAGGATGATGGATGCAACGATGATGGAGGCAAGGATGATGGAGGCAAGGATGATGGAGGCAAGGATGATGGAGGCAAGGATGATGGAAGCAAGGATGATGGAAGCAAGGATGATGGAGGCAAGGATGATGGAAGCAAGGATGATGGAAGCAAGGATGATTGAGGCAAGGATGATGGAGGCAAGGATGATGGAGGCAAGGATGATGGAGGCAAGGATGAGGGAGGCAAGGATGATGGAGGCAAGGATGATGGAGGCAAGGATGATGGAAGCAAGGATGATGGAAGCAAGGATTATGGAGGCAAGGATGATGGAGGCAAGGATGATGGAGGCAAGGATGATGGAGGCAAGGATGATGGTGGCAAGGATGATGGAGGCAAGGATGATGGAGGCAAGGATGATGGAAGCAAGGATGATGGAAGCAAGGATGATGGAGGCAAGGATGATGGAGGCAAGGATGATGGAGGCAAGGATGATGGAGGCAAGGATGATGGAGGCAAGGATGATGGAGGCAAGGATGATGGAGGCAAGGATGATGGAGGCAAGGATGATGGTGGCAAGGATGATGGTGGCAAGGATGATGGAGGCAAGGATGATGGAGGCTAGGATGATGGAGGCAAGGATGATGGAGGCAAGGATGATGGAGGCAAGGATGATGGAGGCAAGGATGATGGAGGCAAGGATGATGGAGGCAAGGATGAGGGAGGCAAGGATGATGGAGGCAAGGATGATGGAGGCAAGGATGAGGGAGGCAAGGATGATGGAGGCAAGGATGATGGAGGCAAGGATGATGGAGGCAAGGACGATGGAGGCAAGGATTATGGAGGCAAGGATGATGGAGGCAAGGATGATGGAGGCAAGGATGATGGAAGCAAGGATGATGGTGGCAAGGATGATGGTGGCAAGGATGATGGAGGCTAGGATGATGGAGGCAAGGATGATGGAGGCAAGGATGATGGAGGCAAGGATGATGGAAGCAAGGATGATGGAAGCAAGGATGATGGAGGCAAGGATGATGGAGGCAAGGATGATGGAAGCAAGGATGATGGAGGCAAGGATGATTGAGGCAAGGATGATGGAGGCAAGGATGATGGAGGCAAGGATGATGGAGGCAAGGATGATGGAGACAAGGATGATGGAGGCAAGGATGATGTAAGCAAGGATGATGGAAGCAAGGATGATGGAGGCAAGGATGATGGAGGCAAGGATGATGGAGGCAAGGATGATGGAGGCAAGGGATGATGGAGGCGAGGATGATGGAGGCGAGGATGATGGAGGCAAGGATGATGGAGGCAAGGATGATGGAGGCAAGGATGATGGAGGCAAGGATGATGGAGGCAAGGATGATGGAGGCAAGGATGATGGAGGCAAGGATGATGGAGGCAAGGATGATGGTGGCAAGGATGATGGATGCAACGATGATGGAGGCAAGGATGATGGAGGCAAGGATGATGGAGGCAAGGATGATGGAGGCAAGGATGATGGAAGCAAGGATGATGGAAGCAAGGATGATGGAGGCAAGGATGATGGAAGCAAGGATGATGGAAGCAAGGATGATTGAGGCCAGGATGATGGAGGCAAGGATGATGGAGGCAAGGATGATGGAGGCAAGGATGAGGGAGGCAAGGATGATGGAGGCAAGGATGATGGAGGCAAGGATGATGGAAGCAAGGATGATGGAAGCAAGGATTATGGAGGCAAGGATGATGGAGGCAAGGATGATGGAGGCAAGGATGATGGAGGCAAGGATGATGGAGGCAAAGATGATGGAGGCAAGGATGATGGTGGCAAGGATGATGGAGGCAAGGATGATGGAGGCAAGGATGATGGAGGCAAGGATGATGGAGGCAAGGATGATGGAGGCAAGGATGATGGTAGCAAGGATGATGGATGCAAGGATGATGGAGGCAAGGATGATGGAGGCAAGGATGATGGAAGCAAGGATGATGGAAGCAAGGATGATGGAGGCAAGGATGATGGAGGCAAGGATGATGGCTTATGCTTGCTTATTATGCTATTTCTAGCTTAGGTTTATTTTATCATGCATGCTTATGCTTGATTTCCTAGGTTAGGTACATTCCTATGTTCTATTATAATTATAGCACGGAACCAAGTTGCGTGTTCCGGTTTCCAAGCCTTTTGGTTGCTACCGATTTGCCTTCTACCGAATTCGAGAAGGTTCTGTTTGGGACGCTTCGCGACCCTCAGAATATTCACGTAACACCTGGGTTACTGGCCTAGTGTCGAGACTATATATAGCCTCGTGTTGTACCCAGTTGGATCATTCAATACATTCGCTCTTTTCTGAACTTGATCCTATCGATCCTAACAGATATGTACTCAAACTCAAGTGAGACAAGGTCGATGAGTTCGTGAGAGGATCCGTTGCAGTCTGGCAAGTCTAAGTTGGCAACTCATAGTGAGACTGTCAACGGGAGTTGTGTTGGCCCCATCCTCTCTTGGGCAAAGCCGACCTCGTGGTCGGGTGTGCGTGAGGTGCAGCCGACCTGCAGTAGTGGGCAAGCTGATCGACGGGGCTGGTTGACCTGCACGTGGGCCATTGCAAGGGCGCCAGCATCGGGAGGGCGCTGACTTCGGGTGGTCAACCTCACGAGGTCAACATCGGAGGTGTCGACTTGGTGACGCCGATCCGATGAAGCCGACTGGGTGTGGTCGGCTGACAGGTGTGCTGGTCGACCTAGGGCTGGTCGACCTAGGGCTGGTCGACCAGGAGTGTCGTTGACCTGGAGCTGGTCAACCAAGGGTGTGGTGGACCTGGTGAAGTCGACTAGAGGTGGTCGTCGGCTTGGGTGGTCGACGGGCACGCAAAGGAGCAGCTCGTCGACGTGGTTGCCTGGTCGACCAGGTTACCTGGGTGACGAGGTTCTGCGGAGAAATGTGTCGGTTGCTCAGGTGGTTTTGGTGAGACCGACCTCGGTGATGGTATCCAGAGGTCGACGTGGCTGATCAGATGTAGTCGTCATCGTGAGGACGATCTCGTGTGTGCTCTGTGCAGGTGACAAGACACAGCCCGCCAATCATCTGCGCGCACCTGCGAAGCGGATGCACTGCTGTCTTGCAGGTGCAACGCAGTGCAGCCGACTTACTGCAGCGTTGGCACGCTGTCGACTTGCAGTGTTGGCGGGTCGCAACTTTGTACTGCTGGAATGCGGTCGACCATGCTGCGCTGGCAGTTGTCCTGCTTGCATGCTAGCTCTAATGTAGTCTTCCCTTGCCAACTTGATTGAACCATTATTGAAATTTTTTGCTAGTGAAACTCTTGCCAACTTTCCCCGTGAATACACAAGTAGAGTGAGCACAAGTGAACGACAAAGGAACGAACGCAGAGATCACTCTTGACCCGTGCCTAGCCCGCAGTCTAGCTCCCGTTGATTAAATTATCTCCGCAGAGACGTTGCTGAGTCTTCTCCCATAGCTGCTGCGTGGTGGTAACAAAGTCATGTGCGGCTTGGACGTGTGCCGGTGTGGTTGGCTGTTGTGGTGTAAGCGGTTCCCGTCCGTAGCATAGAAAGAAAGGAGATTTTCCAGTGGCCACATTTGACGCCTTGTTGTAAGCGAACTCGAGTGTCGGTAACTGTAGATCCCAGTGGCTGATGTCCTCTTTGCAAGCTATGTGCAGTAGCTGTTCAAGCACCTGATTGAGTCGCTTTGTCTATCCGTCATTCTGGGGGTGGTATGCTGTAGATATTGCAAGATTTGTCCCCAACAAACCCATGAGTTCCCTCTAGTTCTTACTCGTGAGGTTGAAGGAAGCCCAATGATGAAGTCAGCTAACGACTTGCCATGGCTGCTCTGGTACGGGTAGAGGCTAAAGTAACCCTGCTTTTTTCTGCTTGCTACTCTTCATCCGCTGGCACGTGTCGCATGAGGTGACGAACTGCTGCACGTCTGCTGCCATCTGTTGTGTGATGCTATTATTTGCATTCACGTCTGTCTACCACCCATCTTATCTTTCTGTCTTGCATGCGTGGTGTGCGGGTGCGAAGGACTTTGCGTTTGGTGTGTTTTGGTCTTTCTGAGTGTGTATGAATGTTATTCTGCTTGCGAAGATATCTGAAGTGACTCCCCTGCTCAAGAGTTTTCCGACGAATCAAGGATCGTCGCGATCGGAGCACGAACGAGAAAGTTATGATCGTTCGAAGTTATGGTTGTGGTGCAGCGACTATGGGAATTTGTGGAGTGACTCTATATGGGGTATAGACTTTTGGGGGTTGGGGAAATTCGTCACTTCTACTCTAGTTGCTGCCAAGTGGTTGGGAGAAGCCAAACAAGGTTGGCAAGTGTGGCCAAGTTGGGGTGAGGTGGATTGCATGGGTTGGGAAAATGACAAGGGTGAAAGTTGGGTTCCTATAGGGAGGGGAAGGGTTCCTATAGGGAGGGGAATTGCGTGCTTATGGGGTCTCCTTGGTTGGGGACTCCTTGGGGACCTTCTCTCTTGTCCTCCTCGTCCCCTCCTACCTGGTTTCTTGCTACTCCAATTCTCTTGTGTGGTTCTTGGGATAAGATTGAAGTTTGAGTTACGTTTCGGCTCCAGCATACCCCCTAGCGCGCCGAAATTCATAACTCAAGAAGTACTTCACATTTCCATGCGATTCAAATTTGGACTTGTAGCCACAGTCCAGAGCTACAAAATATCTGGGTTTGGTGAAGTTTTAACGATGAACTTTTCGTCAACGTCAATTCTTGTGGAGTCGACTTTTTCTGTCCAGAATTCTAGTCCAACGATTGTGAGTTATTTCGGCCACAAATTTACGTAGATTCCATCCCTAGTTACTAACAAGTGGTATCAGAGCTGATTGAGGACTTTGTGAAGAGCCTACTGAGGTGCGAAAAACCTTCTAGACCCACCATGGCCTGTGGGTGTGCCAAAGTGGAGTTCTAAACGTTGGATGTGACTTCCATTAAGGAGAAACTCTGCCGAGATTTCGTTGGCGCCGACACTTGTGAAACTATTGTGGGACTTCGTTGTGGACAGCAAGGGGGGAGCTGAAATTTGTGATTGGGTGAAGAGAAGGTGAGTCAAAGGAGAGGAGATGCAGCTGAGAAGAGGAGTGAGCCGCCACCATCCAAGATTGAGGCGTTGGATGGCTCCAATTATGAGGAACGGAGCGGGCGGATGAGGAGCGCCTTCAAGCGCTACAAGCTGCTGAAACTTGCGATGGGAGAAGACAAGAGACCTAATGAAGGAGAGGCACATGACCGATGGATTGAGAGGAGCGCTGTATGTACGACCTCATTCTACAATCGGTCAACAACGACATGTTCCAGCACATCAAGGATTTGGTGGAGTTGGATGATTCCGGACCAAAGGCATGAAAGCTACTATGCGACGTGATTCAGCCCAACACGTTATCGATGGTGATTGTGTTGGAGAAGGAGTTGGCTGCCCTCTCCATGCAGCCGGGTGATGATGTGGAGCCGGTCCTTGACAAGATCAAGGACACCTATGCGAGGATGGCAGCGGCGGGTAGCACGGTGTTGCAGACGCAGCAGTGCACCAAGATCATCTCGGTGCTTGATAACTCATGGGACAACTTTATCCCCACCCTCACCAATCAGCAAGAGATTCTGCAGGAGGACTTTCGCAAGTGCCACACGGGAGGTGGTCCTACCAACAAGATTGCTGAGGGGTATGGAGCTGTAGGAGGCAGCAGAGGAAGAGGGGGTGGGAGAGGCCGAGGCCGTGGGAGAGGCTTTGGCAGAGGGAAAGGCCGAGGTGACTACAATGAGGGGCATGGGAGCTCTGGTGGCAGGGTGAGTGTCAAACTGTTATAATGTTTATACTGTGTAGGTTGTAGTGGGGTAGCCCATAAGGGGTACAACCCAATTAGGGTTAGTACTTGTACCAACTTTCTTCTCAATGCAATCATTCCCTCGTCTAGTTTTTGACATGGTTTCAGAGCAGGTCCTGTTCCAGGACCGTTTTTTTTTAGGGCCCACCGATTAGTTCGCTGCCCATAGCGCCCTACAGCACCAGACGCGCTGCCCTGCCCTGCCCTGCCTGTCGCGCTGTCCTGCTGGCTGCGCGCTGCCCTGCCCTGCCTGTTGCGCTGCCTAGCTTGCTGCGCGCTGCCCTGCCCTGCGCGTCGTGCCGCCCTGCTAGCCGCGCGCCGTCCTGCCCTGCCCGCGCACAGCCCTGCCGCCTGCCGCGCGGCCCTGCCCTGCCGCCCTGCCCTGCCCGCGCGCCGCCCTGCTGGCCGCCGCGCGGCCCTGCCCTACCCGAGCGCCACCCTGCTGGCCGCTGTGCCGCCCTGCCCTGCCCGTGCGCTGCCCTGCCCCGCCCGCGCGCCACCCTGCTGGCCGCCGAGCCGCCCTGCCCTGCCCACGCGCCGCCCTGCTGGCTGTCGCGCCGCCCTGCTGGCCGCCACGTCCCCCTGATCTGCCCACGCACGCTTCCCTAGTGACCGCACGCTGCCCTTGTTATAGTCACAGTAGGCTTGAATGTGCCAAAAAGGAAAGATAGAGTGCACTGTCGGATTTCTACACAGCGGCTTTAAACATTCATAGAGTTCTGGTCACAGCTGCAAATGACCTGATTCAACTTGGATCTGGAGCGTCTTAATGTCATCTATACTAGGCAATTTAGATCGCACGATTTCATTGAGAATGGACGACGCAACGTTGGTTTGAACGAACAGCACTATGACAGCCACTATAGTCTTAGAACACAAATTACAGCTGCAAATAACTTGATTCAAATTGGATCTGGAGCGTCTTCACGTCGTCTACAATAAGCAATTTATATTGCACGATTTGATAAAGAATTGACGACACAGCGTTGGTTTGAACGAGCGGTACTATGGCAGCCACTATAGTCTTATAACACAAGATAGGAAGAGTTACGAGTTGGGAATGACTCCCAGCTCCTACAAACCCCAAGAGCCAAGGTACAGTGATGTGGAACAGTGCCACACTGTCCCCAACCATGAAGGGTCTCGAAACTACCCTTCACAAGGGCCTACATCACGTGAAATATTACACTACACAAAGTAATGTAACTATTATCAATATCTTGAGGTGTACCCTTTTTCGCGGGCTTTGCGATCACTTGAATCTTGAAACCAAGGCTCTGGTTCTTCATCATAAACTCATCCTTGAGTTCTTGATGGGTCTGCTGCACTCACCTGCGACAAGCCGAACGTTCCACACAAAACAAAATACCGTATTACCCCGGATATAGGCGCATATGCGCTTATAATAAATTCATTTTTTTGAGGGGGGGCGCTTGTAATTGAGTAACGGCCATAAGCGCCGGCGCTTATAT